TTAAACAGATATCTTTATAATATGAATTAGTGTGTATAAATAATTTTTAAATTATATAAAAGCAAATTTATACATATTTTTTTCCAATTTAAAATTAACAAATAAATTTAATCGAACTTAATAGGGTTGCACATTTTTGTACGCCTATAAAAACAATTATAGTTTTTAAGTAATCAAAAACACTCTTTATTATTATAAAGATGAGTAACTTAATTAATGCAACGGGCTTTATGCTTTTATCTCCAAACCTGGCATTATTCAGCTATTAATCATTGTCTTAAGAAAATGAAATGACGTAAGAAAAATGTTTTCCATTGTTTGTCATCTACTTCTAATAATTGAGATATTAAAATACATTTTTTTTTTTAATATTGGCTTCAAGTACTTACCTACTGATAAAAATATCAAACTGCTTTTAATAGTTTATTTGGAACATACCTGTTTAAACCCTCTATAAATTAGTTGAATTTCTTTTTTATTGAACTTGGTGGTTTTTGTTAGTTTTGTCAACTCTTCTGGTCTGTATCTTGATACGTGTATATTGAACTCATCAATATCTTCTTCTGTAACACAATAAACAAACAAAATATGTGAGTAGATATTTCTTATTTATTTCCATTAGCCAATGTACGATGGCATTAACAAAAAAAAAAAACAACCAAACAATTTTGAAAAATTAAAATGATACTAGGGAATTAATTTAATATTTATTATTCTTGTGATAGGACTGATTTACATGTATCATAACGCTTTACAAATAGTCTATAAACACTATATCATACTATTAAAAGATTTATTTTTAAATGAATTTTAATACTTTTCATGAGGTATCTGATATATTTTTTATGTTTAATACATGTTGTCTTTAAAATTAGCATTTATGACTGAAAATGAAAGCATTTTTAGTTGTATGATAATCCAACTTTTTACTGAAAAACATTACTGAACATAATATAGCACTTATATTTCATGTTATGATTTTCAAACAAAAATTTTATAGATGATAAAATGTATATCAGGGTAGCGGCTTAATGTATATTTTACAGCTTACGGGAGTCGAGTAAAATTGCTACACTTTCAACATATACTGCTTCTGTGGACTCCGCCTTCAAATTAAATCATTCCAAATTAAAATCCCATCTTTGCCTAAAATACATTCTGCGCTGGAGTGTCTTCCTCTGAGTCCGACATATATGTATAAAGTTGCGGGGATTAAAGTCGCAAATAAAATACATTTTATGTGAAAAACATGTATAAAAAATGGGAAGCTGTTTAAATCTTTTTCATTTTAATTTATTTTGATTCATTAGCATAACACCAAAGTGTAATTTATATTTTAAAAGTTAGAGATTTTTTGTACTCGAAAATAATTAAACAATTTTAAGTTAATTGTAGTTATTATATTTTACCACAAATTCATTTAGCAAGTTTTTAATCTTACCGCAATTTATTTCACACGGGTACAGCAGTAAAATAAACAAAGTGAATAATATTTTTAATACGATTATTTTTATACGGGTTCACTGAACACTAAAAAGTAGAAACCAGTAGAAACCATTGAATCCACAAGTGTAATGTATTTGATTGTTTGTTTTTTACTTCAATGAGGCAATACTTAATAAAACCTATATTAAATAAAAACTACAAATCGTATCCACAGACTATATGCATTATAATTTCTATTTTTCTGTAATTTTCTAATAATTTTATTTAAGCTTTCAATGATGTTCGTCGAATGTTATATCGCTGTCATAATGTCTATATTACCGTTCGTTGTTTGTAGGTCCACATTTTGTGTCCATCATCTATCTACTATTTGTATAATGGCCCCACAGAGTGTAAAATATAAGCTTTAGTCCATAATTGTATTAAAATCTAGATTATAAGTTGCATTTTCAAATAACTTGATTGATGATTAATGATTACTTGAATATTATTATTATGGTTAAAATAAATAGGAGGCTTTAGGCAACATTTTTATGGGTATTCCCGTTGTTTTAAATTTGAAATCCAATGATGAATTAATATATTCAACACCAAAAGAGATTTCGAGTGCGGCTCGTTTATGTTTTTTTTTTTTATGAATAAATAATATTTTATATCAAATATTATACAAGATAGTACATAACAGTATATTAACATATGATTGTTATCATTTTTTAGTGCTGTTTATCAATAGTTTTTATTATTTATAAATACAATTTTATTCCCAACCTCTATGAACCATTAATTTTAATAGCAACGCCTTCCCCTTAAGTGAGCTAAAATACACTTCATTTTACAAAAGTAAAACTTAATTTAGTTTGTCTAAGAAGTCTATGCGATCTTTATACACACATATGTCATACATTTTCATGTTATAGATTAAATAATGAATTTGATGTGAAAAACTATACTTATAACTATATTTTTGGCAGTTTTTGGTATTTTTGTGAAATTCTACTTRAAAATATATCAAAATATTTTAAAATTTTATTTTGGAGAATAAATTTAAATATTTTATTATAGTTAAATTTTTGGTCGATTTT